AACGAACAGATAGCGCGCAATTTACCCAAAACAAAATTGATACTTAGAAGCTCCCTTGAAGATTACTGTTGAAAGTGACCTATACTGAACCGTGGAGGACAGTTGTATGAAGTGATATTTTAATATGGTTTTTCATTGAACAGGAAATAGTCTGAGATCGAGGAGTGGCATAATCAACCCAAATGAATTTAACTCTCATTGGATTCATCAGACATTCATGTGATACGCATTTATTCGGAGACAACGGGTTAGATTGCTTTGAAGATAATGAGCTCAAACCGATGCAACGTACAGACTTCAATTTCTCGCTGATAATCGTTTCGGATGTTTTGTTCTCATCGATTCTGGTGCAATTGTTGATGAAGTATATTTTCACTGGGTTTACTATGTTCGTGGGGACCTCGGGATCATTGTAATCGATTATCAAATCATTGAATGATATGTCTGAGTGTAGCAAACAGTGGCTCTCGTACATCATCTAATCAATATCTTTACAACCTTAAATTTTATGAGTTGTCCACTTTTATCCGGAGGTGGATTCGAACATTCCAATCCCCTCCTCCGTTTACTACTCCCAAATGGGCAACCATCAGACGGCAACCAAAATCGACATACGGAAATGCATGGTTCATTATTGTTGAGACTGAAACTGTGACCGTGTTTTCCTACGTATTTTCGCCGGTGATTGCCTTCGCGTTTCCACATGCAAATTTATTTCGAGGTGCACTCATACTGAGTTGTATCATCTTGCGGTCAATGTATTCGTTTTATTCGAAAGATAATCCGAAAATCTTTCGACCAATCATGAAATGCATATTTTCAACAAAAACTTACCTGAAACCATGAAAATGTTTTCGCTAAAATATTTACGGTTGAATGCTACGCTTTTTTCTGTCGATTGATCCAGTCGGTAGTAACTGAAATACTGCCCCCTATCGAATATAGGCGAATTCTGTCACATATTTCTACCGCTCACGGGAACCTTCGAAAGTTTTTCCACCACTTTAAAAGACACTATTTGTCCCGGCTGTCAATTGTTCCCATTAGGTGTTTTTTCCATTGTATACCATGAGAAAGTCGGGATTATTTAATGACTACTGACTTCAGATATCAATGAAAGTATGTATCGACGGTTGTATTAGCAAAAAAAACAAGTTTCCTTCCTGCCTCATTTTATCACAGGCTTTTTATAGTGACTACAAGAACTTAGCCTTACCCTCCTGTGTTAGCCAGGAGCATTTCCGGAAGAAACCGTTTATAACTGACACCTCTCTGTGCACATTTTCCGCCTACCCTACCCGGTTACGTACGTTCGGTACCGTTTGATTCCTTGTAGGGTTATCGTGTTGTCGAAAACTACGGATCCTTCGGTCTCGACTGGTAAATGTTGTCACTCCACGATTGCTCACTGTCGATTCTCCCACGGACGCCTCAACTGGGATTGATCGGCAGTCCTGGCAACAACTTCGAGACAGTACTGATACAGTAAGTCAAATGCAGCGCGTTCTCTTTGACTTTTTCCATCTTTATTTCTTCCTCCATTTCTGATATCCTTTTCTTGAATGCATACAGTGATACAAAGAGTTTTCTGATAGAAGAAAGTGCTCCATCACAGGGGAAAGTTAACTGGTGCTGGTGCTGGATACTCCCGGGTGAAGCAGAGCTGAATGCTTCCAGGTGCGTCCCCGGGCTGTGGATAGCGGGATATCTTCACCGAAAAAAGGTTAGCTGTGAATAAGTTGTGGCATACCGCAACAAATAAGCAGTCGCGAACAAACAGCGGCGCCACTACCAGGGTGTGGTGGGTTTCAGGCTGGTTACTGGTTCCTGTTTAAAAGCCGCATAATCCCGGCGTCACGACAAAGGTCGATGTGAGCGGAATTTTAAACCTAAAGCCATTAATCCCCTCACTTCCGAGGAGGGAGGTTACTTCCTGCTGACTTGCAGTTCGCACTTGGTTGTACAAGGGCTAAAGGTGCGCCCTCAAAATAAAAGAACGCCGAGTGACACTGCGGATGTCTCTCGTACCAAACTCCGAAAGAACATGATCATGCTCATGATCTTGTCTGGAGTCGGCTTATCCTTTGCAAGGAGCCAGCCGCAGTAAAGTAAAGTAATGTGAATTGATGGTGGTGGGATTCGAACACATTTTCTGGAGCGATCAGTTGGTGTGACCTTAACTACTTCATACCTTCGCCTGCCTAAATGTCCGACTTTTTACTGTGGAGCTAAACATGTACTAAATATTTGAAATTCTCACAGCGAATCCGGAGAGCCAAAGAGCTTGCAAAATCAACGGGTTTTTTGTACATCATCGATTTGTTTCGGTTGATATTCTTTGGTTGANGGTTGAAAATTGAAGCTAGGTTCTATGAGTCATCATATGTTTTATGAAAAACTGAGTGACTGAATAGTTCACGACATTCACAACAGATCGGAATTCGCAAAACCTCAAGTATATACATATATATATATGTATATGTGTATATTTGACGTACTTTTATGGGGCACCTTTGGCCTATTTAGTGGTTTATTGATACCGGCCTGCGTTGTTCTCCTAACACTTTGTTTCGCGGCAATCTTATGCCTTGGCTAATTTTTTCTGCTTGTTCCGTATTTCTGTCGATCTGTTTGCTCAGTATGTCTGTTTATCTCTCTCCCTCTCTCTCCGTTCACTGAATTCACGTTAGTGGTCATCCGCTTGTGTTGATATTTGTCTTTCTGTCGCTTACTGTTTGCGCGCATTGTCTGTAGAAAATACACCGGTCAACTACGAGGCCGCTGTTTGAAACGGAAGTCTATGTGGCTGAGTTTGGGTCACAATGTCGTGAAACATGACCCCAGATCACATTCCGAATGCACATATACGTGCACCAGTAGTTATTGAATTTTCAGGGTGAAATTCGTCGTGAACAGAGCAAATGAAGCGTTAAGTGAGAAACCAGTTATTGAATTTGTTTCCCTTCCACTTCACTAACTCTCTTGTTTCTATCAGATATTTCGTTTGTTTTACATTATTGTATGATGCAAAGCAAAAGGAATGAACTCCTTCAGACAATATTGTATGATGAACAGCAGAAGGGATTTCCCTCCCTATAGTCACGGCGGCCCACTGTTTACTCATGGGAACCGGGAACCTAAGGACTTGAGGTGGCGAGCCATGTGAGGCCACGATGACATACGTTTGGTATTGAGCCAGGCGACGGCGAAGCTGTCTGCTGCCAAAATTGGGTTACTGCGGTGGGGTTTATATCTTGGACCTCAGGATCCAAAGCACCTCAGCATGAGTGTCTTAATCCGCTTGACCTCGTAACGCCTTGAATACTTGAAGTAGGTGCATCGAAATTAAAACGATTTGTTTCCATCAAGGGAAACTTTCTATCCTTACTCGTCATTGGGAAATTCTCTTCCGATTTCCGATTTTTCACGATTATTAGTTGTATCATCCAGTCATGTTTTGCCTCTACTGTTCCTGTTAGTTTTTCAACCTTTAATGGAGTCCTACTACTGAGATCCTTTCTCCCCTTAATACCGAGAACTGAGTGGTGTCTTCGACGTCACTTACTTCAACTTACTTTTGAGTACTCGTCTAAATAACTGAGGTAAGCCTTTACCATAACTGTTTTTAAACAGAACCTATTATGAAACCATACTACACGATAAACATGGGCTGAGCAACACGTTTCCGAATGCACAACAGGTTTCATTTGTTACACAAAAGTAAGCATTACATTTTCTCAAAGTAATCTCAACCAGAGTTCATGCACCGTCCCGTGCACTCAAACCATTTGGTGAAACAGCTCAACCACGCCGAAGCGGGTGACTTCAACCAGTTGAATGAAGGCCTCCCATTGCAGCTGTTGGTGACGCATATCGGATTCCATGCATTATGTGCATGACATTTGAGGACGCAAAACGTCGCACAGAACCAGATCTCGACTGTAGGCTGGGTGCTCAACCTCCTGGTTCTCTGGCCATAAAATCTCCGATGACACGGAACCTGTGTGCAGATGCGTTGTGTTTTTGGTGCATCAAAATTCCTTGTGCTCAAGGTCTTGGACGATACCCGGAGAAAGCTTCCAGCACTTTCGGTTGACCGTCACGACGAGACTGCACCTTGACGTGGTGTGATGGCTTGCGTGACTCCATGACCCTGCGAGCTATACAGGATGGCTCCTCGAAGCCGCAAATCCAATCATGCCTGAAAGGTCAACAGGTAGAGGCCAGACGAAGACCAGTCTCNAGGGGTGGTTTACTGGTCAAAAAGCCCCCGCTGGATGGATGTAGGAGCGGGGTACCTGGGGCTTCCTCTCGACGGTGGGAGAAGTCTTCGCACTTCATTGGACAACTACCGCCCGCCCAAGCTGGGCAGCCCCCAGCCAATAAGATGGTTAGAGACATTGAGTGGTATGGCTGGGTATCGTAAACAGTGGTGTTCGTGCATCTTCTCAGTTCCTCTGTATCATTATTCCACTGAACGTTTCAATTTTCTCTTCTATCCTACTTTCAACCTTTCCTGTCTTTCTCCTAATGTTCATCCAAATGGGCTGCCAAAAGATAGCAACCAAAACCGGCGCACAATAGTGCATGGTTAATGGTTGTGCAAACTGAACTGAACTTTCGACAGACGGTGGGTGGAGTACCAGTCTCCGGTGAGTGTGCTTTGCTGTATGAGTGGTACAGTAACCACATGACCGTTTCTGACCATGAACACAACCACCATCTGTTTTGCTACAATGCGTTCGCGTCGGAATTTCGAAGGCCTTGCCCCACCAACCGGAGGTTACTGAGCCAATTGTTGCTTTGTCTCTGAGTCTAAGCTGTTCACTCAAATCTCCTTTCCACTTATGATCTCCTTAACTGCATTGGGACGTACACCATCAAATCTGGCAAGCATTGGTGCGGCACCAATTCAACCGAATTGCTTTTTGCTCCTCACTAGACAAAGCGTGAGCAAACCTTTCTGAGGCGGAGCTTCTCATGTAGGGTGATGCGGATCGCTCCCAATGGCTTTCACCAACTGTGCCACTGTCACCCGCGCATACTGACCCACCATCGTTTGCACAACAGCAATGTTGTCCGCTAAGGTGACTTTCACAGATCGACCACATCGTGTCTCATCATCCAGGGACCGCCTGCCACGCTTGAATTCCGCAAACCACTCAAAAACAGTACTTCGTGAAGGTGCATCATCACCAAAGGCAGCTCAATAACCACCAACACTTTACTGCTGTTCCTGCTCTAAATCACATTTGTAATCGTAGAAAATCATCACCCTCCAGTAACATCGACTGAGTTCCACCCTTACAGTCCGAGTATGACTTGTGCGCTATGTTATGTGAGTTGCAACCACTGAACAATATTCACAGTAGATTACAATTCACGTTTTTTTTGCCCGGTCATCTGCATCTCTTACTCGTCTATTGCGTGTCCGGAAAATGTTTACTTAACCCTCGTATCTCCTAGATTGTTTCACTTCGTCTCAACTAGTGCCTACTACAGCCAACTATAGTTTTTATGTGGGTTTCGTGGGTGGAATAGAAAAGAGTAAAACGTATTTTTAAATGGGGAAAACCAATGATCCAGCATTTTTATTTTATCACAGAATAGGGGCTACCTCCCGATTGATTGAAATCAATCCGGTAACGTGTAACTTAGTCGAAATGTTTTCCCTCTGTTGGTTTTAATGTTGCTCCGTCAAAGTTTGTTTGACAGCTGAAGAGCTCAACGTTTTCTATGCAAGTCATCCATCAGCGATCTACTGGATTGGTTCCGGTATAGTAACCCCCCTACATTGAATGCAGTTTACGATACGATGCAAACCCGATTACGAAAGTTCTGTTCTGTTCTGGCTACATAGGTGGTGCCGCACCCACACTGGAACTAATATATCAAGGTTGGTTTAATGCACAGAGATAGGCGTTTTTTTACACCCGGGGTCGGATATCTGTATACTTTTTGTTCTGTGTAGTATTCTGTGTTTGGTCGCATTGCAATTTGCAGGTAACCTTAATTGCTAGAGTAAGGTGATCACATTATCTCCTTTGAATAGATAATCACTTGCCTGTGAAGTAGTTCCACTGTTGTTCTGTATTACATAACGAGACTGTTGCGTTTTTGGATATTGCATCATCAGCGCACATTTACCGAGCTCCATTGAACAGGTTATAAATCCATTTGGCCTCCAAAACCAGTCTTTTCTTCGAAGAACACCAGTTTTAAAAGTAGTCCGCCAGCATGTTACAACCAGTGGCAAATTCTGAGTAAGAACAACACCTCTGACGTGGTCGAACAAATGGGACGAAAAAAGCATAAACATACGGCTTCGCTCGATGTGCAATCACTATTTGTCAATGTTCTGTTCATGAAATTGTCGCTTCTCACCAAACTGTTACCAAACCTAGTCCCACGATGCGTATCCCAACGACCCCAGTTAAAAATAAACAGTTGCAAATAGTGAAAGTCTTTACCGGTTGTGCTGGCCAAACGTGGATTGGGAAAAACGGAGAAAAATGCACCATATATGGGGTTGATTACAGTCTAGTCATTTGTCCGGAATCGGGGTTACGGTGAACCCATGGAGAGGTTGCACAAGCCAGGTTACAGTTCTCTGTTCGTCACCCTGACGACGTCGTAGCCAGGACTCCCGAGAAAACGCCGTCATGTTCTCACACTGGTGATTGATCTTAATCCATTTCACATTCACACCGCGAGATGTCTCACGGGGAGAGTAGGCTGCCCCAGACATCTCTTTTTTTTTTGGGGTGGGTGGGGTGGGGTGTAGCCCCTTTGTGATTTCTCGAGTGCCCTTTCGAACGTATCCACGATTCTGTACGCTTGATTGCGGATGAATAGCTGGGGAGCGGATGTGGTTGATGCCATTCTGGTTGCGGACTTGACGGCACACCTCGTTCACGGGACCGTGAGACGGTCTTAACTTATCGATCTAGTTAGGGTGATGTCTGAGGCTGTGGCCAGCTGCAGTTTGGCTGGTTTACCACGAGTGTGTGTGTGTGAGTGAGTAATTTGCTCTTTGGGTGACCATCTGTTTAAAAGTCCGCAATGACCGAGCGTGCTTCTGAAATTCGTTTGTTGGACCTCCTGTGAACCGCTTTTCTCTCACTAGTTTGTGTATGTCTCGTTGACCAGCAGCATTCTTCCTTGTGACCCCGTTTGCTGCGCTTTTGACAGATGTGCTTTTTGAATGGACAGAAACGTACAAAGTATCATTCACCACATGACCAAAAGGCAGAGGATGGATTACTTGTGCGGCGTTTCGCGGGTTTGAAGTTCGTCATAGATGGCTGGTTCTTTGGGCAATGCATTGAATGAACGTCAGCTTCTGTTCGACCAACTTAGTTTCATGTTTTAAAGAGAGAAGACGTTTGCACTCGGCCATGATTGACTTCAGGTTCATCTCCGGGTCTTGATCAAGTTTGGATAGTAAAGGGCTACCGATATCGACATCTTCGGGACTCTGTAGTGCTCTGATGAAAATGACGCACATGAATTGGTCATCTGTCAATGCGCAAAGTTTGAAGCGCTCGCACTCACGATTGACTCGGTCAACAAACATGCCATAATCCTCTCCATCTCGTTTACCAATTTTCAAACACTTGTCACATATTGAACAACGAAGCTGACTAACCAAAGATTTCTGACAGTTTTGCCGCTGCTTCTTCAAATTTCAAATCCTTGGGTTGTTTGAGAAGAATATAGTCGATAAATCTGGAGTTCTCCAAGTTTCCGGACCATCAGGCGTACTTTCCGTGCATCATCTTGACAACTG